CTAGCAAGTGGCAGCCCAGGGTCACAGAGCTAATCTAAGTGTCGGAGGCTGGATTTGAAATCAAGTCTTCCTGATTCCAGGCACAGAGCTCTATCCTCTGAGCCACCTAGTTGTCTCCTCCATGCTATCACTCACCAAAAAAAGCAAGCTATTGTCCTATATATTATAATATGCTGGACAACTACATTTTTTGAATTCTAGATTTGGAGGAATGTATGCCTATCTCTTCCCTGTCAGCTGCCACTTAATACTAGACTGATGTCACTATAATAATATCTGATCATTTGGAATACCTTCCTTTGGCAATCTATGCCCATTATATATATATTCCTAATGACATGATTCATCACTCAAATTACCAAAGATCTAATAGATTTAGAGCACAAGCCTATGAAGTTCCCCTGTGAGTAAAGTACAAAAATTTTAGGACATAGACTTTGTTAACACTATTTTTGCTTGTTAGGAAGTCTTTTTTTTTTTTTTGTGCTTATTTCCTGTTTCTCAGCCTGTGTTCTAGCTAAGTAAGGTTAGGAGCTAACTGATGTTGGGCTGAATGAAATGTTACTGTAAGCAATATTTTGTAACCCCCATACAACTGAATGGCTTCCAGAGAGAATATATTAGGATCACTTCATTCTGTATCTACTGGCCTGCTAGATTTGAACTCCACAGAACAAGATGCCCCTCCCAGAATTAGTTCACCCCTTCTCAACTCACCACCACTCTGTTAACTCAAGCTGTATTTGACACCACCCTCCCTCAGACTCCTCTCCTCTCTGACTGGAGGGCACAACATCAAACTCCTCCCAAAACCTTCCTTTACAGAGGGCAGAAACTGGACTCTGGGCTCACTCGGCTTTGCACCTGCTGCTCTGCCTGGCTTCGGCTCCACAGAACAAGATGCCTCCGTGCCGGAAGCCTCCTGGTGTCCCTTTTGAATTTTAAGCTTTCTGAGGGCAGGGGCTGTCTATTCGTTGTATCCTCAGAGTCTGGCGCAGGGCCTGGCACTCAGTAGGTGCTAAACAAATGTGGACTGGACTGGATCACCAGATCACAGATCCACAGCTAGAAGGAATCTCAAAGGCAATCTAGTCATCGCCCTTACTTCAAAGACGAAGAAAATGGGACCCGGGGGAGTTTAACGTGCTCAAGTTCACACAAGGAGGTGTTCTAAGGAGGACACCAAACAGTTCTTCAGAGGTCTGCATCGCTGTTTTGTTCCTGGACAATCAAGCTAAGATGAACATCACCATCAACTATTCAATAGACCACAGTCCTCCTGCATTTCAAACCAAAGTTAATGGAATTAATTTGCAAATTGAGAGGATGGAACCTCCACCACTCAATAAATCCACCATAATCAGTCCAATTTAAGGGACTCCTTTACATTTAATTATATTTTAAATACCATCATCCAAAAGATAAGATCAAAGTTAGGCTACCTTCAAAGTTAAGACTCCAAAGAACATCTGATATATACTTATACCATCTCTTTAGATCAAAGCAAAATTGTGCTCTTCACATTCAATGGTCAGAAGAATGAAGCATGAATTGTCCACTTTGGATTTGCATCACTCAGAATATCCACTCTATTCTAGCCTACAAGAGGCTGATGAATTCTGAAAGGTATCACATTCAGTGCACAGCTGTGCATACAGTAGCTGCTACAAAAAGAAACCTTAACAAGCGGCATGTGTGAATATATATGTATTGTATATGCACATATTTTGTCATGTGTCACACACAAATGTCATCTATGTACACATACATACACATACATCTATCACTTTAAGTTTACATCACCCTGAGTCTTGCAATAACCTTAAGAGTAAACAATACAAATATTAACTTCAGTTTACAGCTGGAGTGAGCCCCAGAGAAGTTTCATTACTGGACTACAGACACAGGTCTACTAAATGTCAAAGGTAGGTCTTCTTGACTCCTAGTCCAGCACTACACTCACTATGCCATGCTGTCTCAAAGACTAAGAGTTAGATTAATTTTCACTGTCCACCATAGAACTTCAATGTTGTCCTTAACTGTCCAGCAGGATACTAGGGCTTAACCAACATGGGCAATCTGCCAGATGCCTTGCTACAGCAGGCATACTACTTCTCTCCCTCTTGTCACCTTTTCCTGTGGGAACAATAATCAATACTACCTCTGTTACTGGAAAGAGCACAACAATTTACTGCTCTATGGGATCTACACAGGAAGCCTCTAACTGCCTAGACTAAAATTCCTTTGCCATACTGCCCTAGTAGAATGTAGGTTCCTGAATGGAAGGACTGTTTCACTTCTGCATTTTTATTCTCAAAGCCCAACACAGTGCCAGGTATACAGTAAGTGCTTAATAGAGGACTACTGACCGATTACCCAGGAGTGAAATTTAAGCTGTTTCATTTACCTGGCATCACTGTGGGACAGGCTTTACCCTAAATGTCTTAAGTTTACACACAAATTCTATGTAAGATTTCATGTGGTCACATGTATTTTTTATCTGCATCTAAATCTTTGATATTTAAAAAATAATTTCCACATAAATACTTAATTCAAAGAAGGTTAGGAATCACCACATGTCAAACTTCTGATTTTAAATGACAGGCAGGACTTTTTATTCGTTTGGACCTAATCAGATTACCTATCTTGGGAATGAATTTCAAGTAAGTCCTTCAGCCAAGATAGAGTACTCACTGGCTGTATGATGAACTTGCTGCAGTTACTATAATACTCATTATCAAACAATGGGATATCCAGCAATGTGTTAACTAAATCCAAAGTTGTCCCATAATCTCCACAGCTGTAAAAAAACGCAAAACAGATGACCAAACAAACTCTACCATAGTTTTCCTACATGTAACTACAGTCTTAAATAATAGCAGTAACAAAATACAATATACAAACTATAAGACCTCATTCTTCATGGCAAATGTTTCCAATTCAATTTATTAACAACAAAATGAAGTAACTCAGAGTAATACAAAAGATGAAAAAGGACATATGAGTGGAAAGGCCTCAAGGAAACTTGTATGAACCAATGTGGATTTTGCTCTTAGTGACTGAAGATAGACACCTAGACAGCAATGTACTTAGCAAAACTAGAAACAGTGCTATCTAGGTAATGGCCATTTCATATACGAATAAGGTAAACTTAAATCACCGTGAATTCATAAAAAAGTAAGCATTACTTCAGGAAATGCAAAACAAACCCCAATACTTTAAAAGAATAAGAATTTGGGCAATATTTTTGTCATTGATTAACAAGTCCTTCCTATTAAAAAAACAAAATATGTAAAATTACTCCCAGAGATCATATCCCTGATTTTAATGAATGACATACATATCAAATTTTATTGGGCAAAAAATGATACTTAGAAACGAGCTGGCCTTTTCATTTTCTTTTGGTTAAAACATCTGTACCTTCTTTACCCTATGGGGAAAAATGGCAAAAAATTATGCAATTAAAAATTAAGATGGACTAGTAGTTGAAAATATTTAATGTGCACTCAATATGACATACCCAAAAAATTCATATTTAGGGATCTTATGCCTGAGATGTTATTACTACAGGCTATAATTACTGACTTATAGCTGAAGCTTGCCAACAAATGAGAAAATCCATTTTTATACAAAATGGTCAAGCTTATATGACACAGGAATCATGTATGTATGTGTGTATGTATATTCCAAACTCTGTGAAGGTTCTCCAAATTCACATTAATACTCCAAATAAAAGCTTCAGCAATGTCTCAAGTGGGTCATCATATGAAACATCCAATGGAAAAATTGTCCAAAGCAGAAACTGAAGGGGGGGGTTTGGAAGGGGAAATAGAGAGAGGGGAAAGAGGGCACCCCATAACCTTAAACTCCTATTTCAAAATATCATGCCCAATAATTCTATTCTGTAACATTTTAAAGAAAACCATGAAGGAAATTTCCACCGTCAGTGATATTAAGTGACATTGTTTTTGTTTTCCAAGAATATTACTGCTGGAGTGAGGTCCTCAAAGCCTACCTTAGAGCTTGTTACTAATTTTATATATATTTTTCTCTCTACCCCCCTGAAAGCAAATAAATAAATACAGACTCAACCACACGTACACTGGAAAAGCACTGCTACAACTACCAAGTTCATTTTTTAAAACTACAATTAATGGAACTCTTTAAAAAGGTTCAATTTTTCATAGCTTTAACACTATTTACAAAAAATTAAATCATAAGTTGGGTTTTACCAACAGTAGAATTATGTTTGACACTCTCAGCTGGCTTGTTGCCTTTCACCTTAAGCCAAAAAGGAACTCCTTGAGAATCTTGCACTGAAGCAATACTTCTAAAACCATTAAAATCTGCGAAACTGAAAATGTCGCTCTTTACCACATTTTATTTCGTGTGTGTTGATAATGTGAACTCTAAAAATACACTTTAAAAACATTCTTTTCCCTTCAAAGTTCAAACTATCTTTTTAAATGGGATGGCAACGTAATCAACCCACGGCCTGTTGTCTTCTCACCAAGCAGCAGCTGATTCTTCCACCACCTATTTTCGGAATAACAAGTTAGAAAAGTCACAGGACGAGTGCAGGATCCCAGCCGACTCGGAGAGGCGAGCGTCCGGGCGGCGCTGGCTCGGCCGCCTATGATTCAGCAGAGGCGCCGCGGTCCCTTTAAGTCAGAAGTGCCGAGCCCGGCCGCCGAGCGGGCGGACCGACGAGCCCGCAAAGGTCACCCAGCCTAGGGAGGGCGGCCGGGCCGCGGGGGCCCCGCCGGCTCCGGGGAAAAGTTTCTAAGTCGGGCGACCCCCCCTCCCGCCCAGTGCGGGCCGGCCCGCGGTCTGCGGCCGTTCCCCGGGGCCGGGGCCGGCGGGACAAGGCTCGGGACTTGGATCGGGACGAGGCCCCGGGGGGTGAGGGGAGGAGGCCCCGAGAGGAGGAGGAGGAGGAGGAGGAGGAGGAGGAGGAGGAGGAGGAGGCGGCTGCGGCGGCGGCGGCGGGCGGCCCCTACCTTTCTTGGCTTTCGGCGAGCTCCGCTTGCTCCGGGTATTGGCTCTCTCTTCCTCTATAGCAGCTGCTATCTCCGGGTTGTCTTCCCCATTGTACCACACTAGCAGCTCCTCGCCCGGCTCAATTGGCTGCAGGGAGAACAGAGAGCCAGGCCACGCCAATCAGGACGAGGGTTGTTAGCGAGGGGGAGTGGGCCAGCCCGGGCTCCGGGCCAGAGGGCGTGGAGCTGGCGCTGGCGATTACAAACAGCTGGACGCGGCTCTCGCCGCAGACTTCCCAACTCACTCACTCACTCACTCACTGACTAACCAAACAGGAAGAACCCTTTAACCCACGGCGGCGGCAGCGGCGGCGGCGGCGGCGGCGCGGCTGCCGAGCCCGGGCGGCTAGAGCGGCCGCGCCTCCGCCCCTGTCGCTCCGAGCAGCGCGCCCCTCTGCGGGAAGGAGGACCGACGCCCGGGGCTCTGCTCCAAGAGCGAGGCCCGCCCCTCGGAGGACGGACGAGGTCCGCGGGCCTTGCCTACCTGGGCCCCACCCCGCCGGGGACGAGGGAGATCCAGCCCTTTAGAAAACGCACTGAAACTCATGGATCCAAGTCCATGGCAAAAGAGAAAACGGACAAAGTATAGCAGGCGACTATTTGCCATTGAGAGAGGTAACTCTGCTCAACCGAGACCGGGATCTCACTCACGGAGAAACCAGACCTATCTTTTTTTTATTTTTTGTTATTTATAGTAGGTATTGGGTGCTGTTTGGAGCTGGGAAGCTGTTAATTACTGAAGGGCTGTCAGATTTCAAAATGGCTCAACATTTCTTCCCATATTTTATTGTAAAGTCCAATTGATTAAAAATGGGGTTTAACCTGACAGACCACAAAGGAGGCTGAAAATTAAATAAACTTAAAAGGCAACAATTCATTGCTTATTTTATATACATATATGGACACATATGACTTAAAAGCAATAATATGCTTAAAAATAAAAATTATCATACTACAAAATGATATTTACTATTCAAAAAAGTCCAAAAAGCAAACTTAGGAAATTCAGCTTAATAATACTGCATATTTTAAAAAGAGATTAAAAGGAAGAGAGCACAGATGAAGCACAGAAGCATGTTTAAGAGAAATGCCAATTAATTATAATGACAAAAGTATATGTGCCATTCCATTTATAAATGCACTACTATTTATAACACACAGCCATATTAAAAAGAGACAGAGACATCACAAGTACTTAAGTTATAGTTTTATTAATATGGCATTTTAATACTGCTAGTGAAACACTCAGTAACAGGATAATTAGTTTCATGTTTTGTTCCTTTTTACCATATCAAAATTATAACTTAATTCAAGGTGGAAAATGTAAATAGCCAGCCTGTACCTATTAAAATAGTAATTACACATACACATTTTAATATTTAAAAGTCAGCATAAAAAGTATGAGAGGAAAATTTTGAACTTTGAAAAAAATATCACATACAAACTCATTACATGAAGAATCTGATCCTTTAAAGAAGAAAAAGAAATATCGGTTTTGACTAAAATTCCCTTATTCTCTACTGCTTCCCCCTCACAAAAAAAACAAAAAACAAAAAACAAAAAACCACCTGACCCCAAAAGATAGGTAAAACCAAAAAAATTTTATTTCGAAGTTTTTGGACCAATGTAAAATTTCTGCTGTGTGGTAATATATTGATCTGTTTTTTCTTGTTTGGAACCAATTAAATTTAGACCAAGAAAGAAAGTTGGTATTTAAAAAGTTACTTTTTAACATTCCCATAACTAATACATTCCAGACACAAGCACTTCTTAGCCATAAACTAACCTGTTCCATGGCAATGTAACTTCAAAATATTTGTCTTCTTGTTTGTTGGCATGTTTAAGGAATACTGTACAATAATTGGGGATATGGGGGAAAAAAACTCTAAAAAATATATACAAGGTGAAATAAACATCTGCATGGCCTAGGTGAAAAATGGGAAGTAAAGAAGGTTAAGGAAGTTGTTTTCCTTTCTCAACTCAAAAACAATCTCCGATTATCAGAGGTGGCACAAATGGCAAGCAACTTCTATATCCCTAGGATCCTATTCCAAAAGAAGATAAACTACTTGAGGGTTGAGATTATCTGCTTTTGTCTTTAGATTCCCAGCACCTAGCATTTAGGGAGCACCTAAGAAATGCTTATGGGCTGAATACTGAATAGAGTGATAATGGGACAAACACATGTGGAATCACTTGGAAGCCTTTATACCAGGAGGCAGCCTGGTATAAAGAAAGAAGTCTGAATTTGGGAGCCAAGAAACTTGGGTTCAAATCGATGGGGGTCACTAGCTGGTGACCATAAGCAAATGCCTGAATCCTTTAGGGCTTTAACTTTCTTACCAATAGATTACTAGGTCACAAAATCTGAGCTGGAGGGAACCTAAAAAGGTCATCGCTTCCAACCTGTGCCAAAATAAGAATTCATTCAAAACCATAAGTGACATACCCAACCTTGGTGCTTGAAGACCCTTCAGTGAGGGAAGCCCACTTCAGGCCAACTTAGTCCATTCCACTTTGACAAAAGTCTAAGTGTTAGGAATGTTTTTTTCCTTCTGTCAAGCCTAGGTCTGGCTCTCTGCAGCTTTTGGAACAAATGTAAATCCCTCTTCTATATTACAGCACCTCAAAAACTGAAGGCAGCCACCATCCCCTACCCTCCCAACCCTGCCAATTTCCTCTTCTCCACATTCAACATTTCCACTTACTTCCCCTGATCCTGCTATGGCATTATATTAAGGCTCTTCACCAACGGAAATGCCCTCCTCTGGAAATTATTCATTTTATCATCATCCTCCCTGAAATGTAATACCCAGAAATGAATGAAATACTTCAGAAGTGGTCTGATCACTGCAGAATTACCATTTCCCTCATTCTAGACACAATGCATCTCTTAATGTAGCCTAGTATGACTTGGTTTTATTGCTTAGGCTACCATATCACACTTTTGACTCATACTGACATTATAGGTGAATAAAACTCCCATATTTTGCATATGAACTATGGTCCTTCAGTGTCATGCAGTAGTAAGAGCAACAGATTTCTACTTAGAGGACCTTAGCTGGACCTAGGTTCAAATCTCACTTCTTTCACTTACTGCCTCAAATTTCTTTGGGCCTGTTTACTCACCTATAAAATGAAGGGACTGGGCCAGACAACCTTCATGATCTCTTTTAATACATATAGCATTTATATAGTTTACAATGCTCTATCAATTTTATCTCATTTAATAACCCTACATGGAAGGTGCTATCATCATCCCCATCTTACAGATGAGGAAACTGAGGTAGATGGGTTAACTGAGTTGCCCAAGCTTACTGACAGCTATTAAGTATCTGAGACTCTATGGAACATCTTCCTGACTCAAGGTCCTGTGCTCTATCCAGAGGTATCAAACTCAATGTCTGCAGAACTCCCCAGTGAGGTCCAATCAGACTAAAATGTAACTGGGAAATGTCTAACGAAATAACTAAAAATACAGCATGGTTAATTCGTACTTTTCCAAGTACGTCTATACACCTGAAGAGATGTCTCGATTTGTGTCTGACGCCACTGCTCAAATTCACCAAGATACCTAGCTGCTTCCAGTCTCTAAGGTTGTTATAAAAATCAAATGAAGTAACTTGTGTAAAGTGTTCTGAAGACTCTAAGACACTAGCTATTATTAGCATCTGTGCCATCCTCTTCTCTAATCCAGCCTCCACTCGTCAGTCAAACTGATCTTCCTCAGGTGCAGATCTGATCATGTCACCCATGTTCAATAAACTCCAGGGGCTCCCTATTACCTCCAGGATCAAACAGAAAATCCTGTGTTTGGCTTTTAAAGCCTTTCATGACCTCCCCCCACCCCTGCCTACCTTTCCAGTCTACATTGTTAGTGTTCCAGGACTGGTCTCCTTGCTGTTCCTTACAAAAACCACTCGATCTCTAGACTCTGGGAATTTTCACGGGCTGTGCCCCATGCCTGGCTCTTTCTCCCCTCCTCCTCATCAATTCCTCATTTCCCTGACTTAAAGTTAAACTTTGTCTAAGAAGCCTCTCCTGATCCTCCTTCACTGCATCTTCCCTCTACTGATCATTTCCAGTTTACCAAGTCTAGCCTGTGTGTACACAGTTCTTTACATGTTCTCTTCCCCATTAGACCAAGAGCTCCCTGAGAGCGGGGGCTGGTTATTGCCTTTCTTTGTATGGTCAGTGTCTGGCACGCAGCAGGTGTTATTAATCTTGCTAACATGACATTTCCCCTAACTATTGCATGTAAGGCTAGATTTCTGAACCCAAGAGTAAGATTGCCTTTATCCCTATTCAATTTCACCTTAGTAGACTCAACCCAAATTAAGACTTTTAGATCATGCCATTCAGTGTGTTAGCTGCCCACCTCACCCCCAATTCTATGTTATCTGCAAATATGGTGAATAATGAAATCTATGCCTTCACACAAATCGCTGATAAACATGTTAAAGAGCAATAAACCAGGCACAGATCCCTGAGGCCCTCCAATAGAGATCTATTTTATATCTGCTCATACCACTAGTTCTAAATCCATGGCTGTGCTGGTTTAAGGACTACTTCCCCATCCTATCCACAAGCATATGCTGTGATTTTGTCAATGGCTTTGTTAAAAATCTAAAGAAAGTTTGTATTCAACAGCCTCCTTACCCCTGAAAAAAGGGGTCCAAAAAGTAAGGCTAGCCTGGCAAAATCTGTTCCTGATGAAGACAATCTGGCCTTTGTGATCATTCCTTCCTTTTCTAGACATCTGTCAATCCCATTTATAATACATTTTACAGTTTTGCCAAGATTAAGCTCAAGGTCATTATCCTATCATTGGCAGGATCCACTCTTCTTTCTACCTATCTCAATTCTACCACCTGCCTCATTTTGGAAAAGGAGCTTCAGAAATAAAAGAAAGCAACTCGCCAGTTACATTTAATAGTACTGTACTTTGAATATCCTAGGATGAAGTTTATCTGGACCAAATGACTTATCAAGGACAGCTAGAAACTCTCATTTATTTGGGATTTCAACTACCTGTGTCATTTATGTTCTGTCCAAATTAGTATAAAGATAGATCATTCACTCTCTATG